ATATGCGAGTGTGGAGAGGGGCGAGAGACTGTCGAACACCTTGTGATGTTGTAACGGTCCCAGGAGTATATTGCAACTAGCTGGTGACGACTCTACGAGTTTGCCTCGAATGGAGAAAGAAGAAGAAAAGAGAGAACTAGATGACAGGAAGAGAGGGCAGCTCTTATATGCTCCGGAACACACAGACACTGCCTGCTTCAGGATGACGTTATCATGATACCACGGCCGAGGGTTGCCGAGGCCATCATGGGCTCAGCCCATCACAGATGTGGTGCTTGGCCCCACCGCTGACTCGAAGATGGGAGAGAGCCGAAATCAGAACGCGAAGGGACTTTTATTCTGTCCTACAGGGAATCAGTCCCAAAGCTGCACGGCTAACGGGGAGGATCCTGGACTGGCTGATGGACTCAGGGAAACTGCCGATGTACGGTCTGGCCAGGAGGCTGGAGCTGGAGCTCGCAGTCTGATACCCTTTCCTTCGAAGGCCAAGAGGCCTTCCCACTTTGTACATGCAGGATCACACACTGATCGTTTCCTTGATTGTCGATATGGGTTTTTCACCCGGCCCACGAGGGCGCGGTTTTCCTGTATAGTAAGTTGTTGAAGGTCTGGCACGCCCTAGGGCACAGCGGCGTAGGAATAATAATAATTATCGACCACCATGAGCCACCGGCCGCAATCCTTCCGCTCCAACCACCTCTTCACCAACGGCAGCACGTCGGTCTTGGGGTCATCATAGCCCGGGACTTGGAATTTTTGTGCGAGGAAACCATACGCTTGGCGGAACCGCTCGGCGTTGCTTGCGTGGACCCAGAAGACCGACACGTCCGGGTGCGTCTCCCGCAGCCAGAACGCGTACCCCAGCGCAATCTGCGTTTTCCTAGCGCCGATTAACATACTATACCAAAAGCGGGAACGACCATCAATACCCAATGCCGCCCAAACCATAGAGACACGCTCTCGGCTGCGAAGCACCGCCTGTCAAAGGCTGCCCATGACCGAGTTGGCTCTTCAGCAGTTCGAGGATGTCGGAACGCCCAACAAAGTCTGGATTGCTAGTGTACGGCACGAGAACTATTCTGCTTAGCCTGACCTATGAGCGGTACGGTGGTGCTACCTACATCGTGCGGCTGAGCTCGTGTATCCATCCTGTCCATCTCCTGACCTTCCGGTATGGTCCGAGGCCGGTGCTTCCCGGTGACGTCTTTCCGACGTGTCTATTTCCTTGATCCACCGGCGGAGCTCCCCGCAGACAGCCGTGAACCCGGGGTCGTTCGCAGAGACAAACCTGGCCATGTCCATATGATTGCTGTGGATGCCGATCGGGATGTATCCCGGGAGGATTGCTGAGTGCTGCGGCACCACCTGTGCCAGTAGTTAGCCAGCCACTATGAAACCAAGCTCATTGAGCTTACCTGGCCAACGCCAGGCAGAGGGAGCTCCTCAAAGAAGCAAGTGATATCGATCTGCCCTTGGCCCTCCCTGCTGCGTGCCTTGACCATCGTATGAAAGCCGTCCTGAATCCGCGCGAGCACTTCGGACTCGCGTCGGAGGACTGCCACAATCTCGGTGTTTGTCTGCTTGACGAGGCCGATGTGACGGGACAGGAGCTCAGCCCATCTGGCCAGACCCGCCCCGTGGTGCGGCGTTCCTAGGAAGGCGATTCCTCGGGTCGATTGAAGGATGTTCTGGAGGTGTTCCTCCGGCCGCTGTCTCGATGTCACTAAGGCCTGCCACCATTTTTAGCGCGCTCCATCAAATGTCAGAGTGTGTACCATACATCCTCGCAAACAAGCCCTCCCAGGCTGTGGCAAACGAAAACGATAGGTCGCTTGTTCTACGCCCGTCAGTGCAACCAGCCACCACGCAAGCCCGCAGGAGACAGTACCGTTTCGTCCCTCTCTCGGTACGTCGCAAGAGACGTGAGCAGATTCCACGCATGGTTTCCAATCCTGTTCTGCGCCACCACTCCTCGCCAATCTGCCACATATGCATCGTATCCGAACGTGAGCACGCGCGCGGTCGGGAGCTCGGACGGGAGGAGGGCCTTAGGCCATGGGTCGGACGCGTCCCGGGCGGTCCACGTCTTCTCGCGATCGCCAGCCAGGCCGTGGACGAAAACGATGCTGGCGGGTGATTATCAGCGGTTGTGTTACTGTAACTTGGAGTGGGAATATACCAACTCGACGATAGCGTGTTCCGGGCTATGAAACAGTTTGATGCCTGACGGGAAGGTCTTGATCGAGGACGAAATCCCCGCAACCGATCGTTGAGGCCAGTCGTGCTCAGCGGTCGGCCCGGTTGCAGCGGCTTTCGGCCGCCGTCCGAAGAAATGTCGCATTCCGCCGCGGAAGGGAACGTGCGTCTCGGTCCGTCAGATCGTGATCCGCTGCTGTGGTGGGGTTCGAAGGTGGACCTGGTGTGCTTGAAGCGGCTGGTCCGAAGACCCCGGAACATTGCGGGCTTTTACGCGCCGCCTGTGCCTTGGGAACTGACCAATGCGCGCAGCCAGAATCCGCCTCTTCCACGCGTATTCGTATTGGCTCACGAATGCATGTTCCCTGGTGATCTCCACCTAATGCGGCTATCAAAGATTCGTCGATAATTCGCTTCCAATGGTCAGGACGAGGCTAGCCGATTCTGGCCCTTCTGTCTGTGGGCGATCACACCAACCGCAGCGCATGTGGAGAGTGGCGCGGGGTTGGTCTGTGACTCTGCGCACTGCGGATGGGAGCGGCTTGTGGCTCTTGGAAACAGCGAATGCGACGCTGCGTTAACCCGAAAAGGTCAACTAATACCATAGAATATATACAGCTTCCTCCACAGGTATCCCCGTACCTGGATCGCCTCCTATTGCGCCAATAACCCCAGATTTCGGCTCCTGATACATACACCATTTTGTAGGGCAAGTTCAGCTCCTGATACACGAAAAAAAAACCGACCCACACTCTGGACCTTCCTGATACTGTGTCCACGCACAAAAAATAATCCGGCCCGTGCGCTAACCCACATTGGCTCCTGAAAAAACAAAAGAAGTCAACGTTAATAAAAGGTCGGTCCTACTGAAAGACACCTGAATCCACATCCACAAACGGACCGTCGGGACCCTTAGGGCTCGAATCACACGAGCAGGTGCACTATGGATGAAGGGGAACTTCTACGTTCGTTGCAGCTCGTTATTGACCCTGTGGCCCAGGTTCTCGTCTGCGCCCGTCCGGAATGGACCGCGGCGACCGCAACGGCCGCAAGAGGCCCGCTGGGCCCGAACAAGGCGCCGCTCGGAGCAAACGGACTCGCCTCGCAGACCCATCGCCACCGCCAACACGTCCCGTGAGCGCTCGTGCGGACGAACCTCTTTTTGGCCGCCTCAATGCGGCTGCGACGGTTGAAGAGGCAGAGGAGCGGAGGAGAATCGTAGCATACCTGGCGGGGAAGCTGCCCACCATTCAGTCCATCAATTCAGAGGATGCCAAGCTCGTCATCACAGCAGAGGGTGGCGGAAAGCGTACTACCGAAGAAGCAGAGTCCCCACCGCATCCGTCGTACCAGACAACCCGTCGGCTAGGCGTGATCCATAACCGCACTGAGGAATGGAGGTTCGTCGGTTGCGAGCTATGCTTCGCGACTACAGGGCAGCGGGAGCCAGACCACGGACTGGAAGACTGTGAAAGATGGGAGACCAGCGAAGCTGCGAGGCGCCTCCTTAATTGGCTAGAGGGGCTCAACATCCCTCGATACTATGGCCAGAGAGGTGCTTGTGCTATATGTGGGCATGGCTGGGTCGTCTGCGATGAGATGCGGAAGGGGTTTCAACTCGAAGAGGCAGCGGGTCGCCGGCCCGAAGACCGCGCCCGACTCGCTGGACTCGCTGCTGCGTACGATTCCGCCAAAGGACGCGACGGCTTCTGCGGGAATCGGTCGGTAGTGCGCAGAATGATGGCGGCATTGCTCACGTACGACGATCAGATCCTGGGGAAGGTCTTGACGAGGCTGGTTCTCGATCATTTTGGCGTGGACCTGGGCATCGAAAAGGAGGCAAAGGCCTGGTTTGAGCAGCGAGTACGGTCGACTGACGGGTACTGGGTGCCGCGGCAGTTGCACGCACTTGACCTGTTGATCTTGGCGTTCGACTGGCGGCTGGAGCAACGACGGTCACCCAAAGCGGCGACGGTGGGAACACCCGAGCTAGCGTGGGACAATGGAGTGGAAGTGGAGAACTGGAGAGAGGCACTGAATTGGCTACGTGGAAGGTGTTCCTTCTGTGCCGGGCGTGGTCTTGGTGAGGGCCAGATCCGCCATGCGCTCCGGCAGTGTCACCGCGGAGGCGCACAAAAGGTCCGCGAGGATATGGGAGACCTACTGTACGGAAGGGATTACGAGCCTGCAGGTGGATGCCGTGTTTGCCACTTGCCGAGAGACTTCTGCTCGAGGTGGGAGGACCAAGGCGGCGGACGTTGGATGGAGCGCCAGAGTGGCGCATGCAGCTACGACCGCAATCTTCTGTACGACGGCATCGTCGGGTTCTCGACCTGCGGGGTCGCAGCCTACAAGGAAGAGCTTCTCGATCAGATCGATGCCTATTTCATGGACGAAGGAGAGGATCCCCCAGGGTACTATGACGATGAGGCCGCCGTCTCTTGGCTCACCCAGCCGCTCTTAGTAGCAGGTGTCTGTGCATCACAGATGGTGCGTCAACTAGCAATCTGGGTTCGGGCTTCAGAGGCATTTTCAAGGCATGTGGTGCCGCCGCCGGCCGGCGAGGGCCATGGCGAAGGCCAGGGCCAGGGCGAGGGCGAGGACGAGGGCGAGAGCGAGACAGGGAGCATAGGGGAGGCTTTCTGCGCTGAGTTCGAGGCGGCGGCGCGGGCCATCAAGGAGAAGGACGCGGCGGCCGCGGCGTTGATCAGCGACTAGTCGAGGTTTGTCGCATCGCAGGTTGAGAAGGTCGGTTCGGCGGCGGTGAACTACATCGGGCGGCGGGAGGCGGGCAAGCGAGGCGATCATCGTGTGGGCGGTGCGGTACGACCGGCGCGGGAGGCTGATGGATGAAACGGCGGAGCAGACGGGGAGCCGCGGGATTCCGTGACAATATAGAAAGTGGCCATTTGGACAGCATTCCGGAACCACCACCATGGACATCGCGCCGTTCGTTCGTTTACGTGAATACCCGTTTGTCATATGCAAGGAGTGCCGGTTCGCATGTATCGCAGACGAGGTCGCCAGTCATTTAAATCGGCACCATCGTTCGATAGGATCCAAGGAGCGGATCGAGGTCGGTAGGGCAGTAAGAGAGATACCCGGAGTCATTCACAATCAGGCACAGTTACGCAGGTTCGTGTACCCGCCGCCCACGACTGAAGCTATGCCATTCATCGCACCGCCCCAAGCGGACGGGCTCCGATGCGATACATGCAGTTACATCGCCTACTAGAAGCATCATCGCTCGGAATTGGGTGCAGTTCCATTACACCTCCCCCGGGGTTTTAAAGGTTAGCGCGATACAAGCCCCACCGACTAACCAAAACAAGCAAGCAAGTAGAGATACTTTGAAGGAAGTAGAAAAATCATTGATTTTTTAGTACTCTGTACTTCCACCTTCCGCTGCAATTACTTTCCGTAACCTGTCTGGCATCGAGTGCGCTAGCCGAAGTAAAAGATCCTCCGGAATTGCATCCCATGCCTCCTGAATAGCCATACGGAGAGCCGCAAGACTAAGTCGTTGAAGATCTGGGTAGTCGTCCTCGATAAAGTTCCTCAGCCAGTGCCAGAGGTTCTCTATCGGGTTGAGGTCAGGGCTCCGAGCAGGCCACTCTAATACCTCAAGTCCAAGTGCCGTAAGTAGACGCCTGGTTGAGAGAGCTCTATGAGCAGCAGCATTGTCTTGTTGAAAGACAAATTCGCAGCCGTTAGACTCCCAGAACTGCCGTACAAGTGGAAGTATAAGTTGTTGATATTTCTCGGCATTTATACCCCCGTATCCCTTCTCCTAGAAGAACCCGGGTCCCTTATACCGTCCAGCGAAGCAACCCCAGAACATCCAGCCGTGTGGTTTTTGCCGAAGAAGTGCCCAAGTACGAGGGTCTTCAGTGTCGTGCACAGTAATCCACCGCTTCCACGTAGGGGTATTGGTAGCCCAAGTCTCGTCGCTAAAGATAACCTTCTCCCAGTCCTCAGGATTAGGTCGCAGAGCCAACTGCTCCTGTGCAAAGGCGAGTCGTGCAGCCCGGTGCTGAGCAGTTAGTTCAATCCT